GACCTCTACCACTATATTCCATTGCAATGTAAACCCTATTAAGGCAAGAATACATGTATTTTTGTTGTTTTATTTCATTGCCGAATCTTCAAGTTCTAAAACAGTGATAACACATCATAACTACTTATTAAATATTGGTTGAGTGAACAAAGAACGCCCCTGACAACTGGCCAGTCTGCTTCTCCTTGAATGCTCCTCCAGCGAGGGATAAGTTAAGGAAGATCAATTACTGAAGCATCCTCTGATAGAAAGTTCTTCCTGACATTAACTTCCTATGTGCTTCCCTGTAACACTTATCTTTTGGCTCTAATTTTCTCTGGGACCAAAGAAGAATAAATCTAGCTCCCTGTTCTGCTTGACAATATTTCAAATGCATTTGGATAGCTGTGTGTGCCTGGTTTCTTCAGCTGTCCACTTACGATATAGTTTTTAAAGAGCTTTCAATTCGCTGGTAGTGGGAAGAACATGGTGTTAGGAACCAGCCCCATCACTCTCAAGGGGAGTGATCTTGGGTAAGCTTCTTCCTCTAGAAATATGTAGATGAGATTAATAAGAACTATATTTCAGAGTTGGTGTGAAGATGCACTGAGACCATGTAGATAAAGCCCTAGCCCAGTGCCCAGTACTTAGAAGCCCCCGACAAACGTGGGTTCCTTTCCAGTGCCCACTGCCCTAGTCAGCAGCCTCTGGTCATACTCCAGCTTGTCAGTATATGGTTTATTTATTTTTTTAAGATTTTATCCATTTACTCGAGATAGAGAGAGAGAGAGAGAGCACAAGCGGGGAGGAGGGTCCGATGGAGAGGGAGAAGCAGGCTCCCCACTGAGCAGGGAGCCTGATGTGGGACTCGATCCCAGGACCCTTAGATCACAATCCGAGTTGAAGGCAGACTCAGGCCCACACAGTTCAGATACGACATCCACAAATGGGCCTTCTTGTACATCTGTACTTAAATACAGAATACAGAGGGATTAAAACATTCCTCACTCTTCAACGTTTAAAAAACTCGAGTCTCTCAGTTTGTGACAGGCTCAGGACTAGTAAGCAGCCCTACTAATGCACTCTAAGAGTGCAGTAGCTTTTTAGACAACCCCATAGCAATATTGTTTCTTACTGAGCTTATACAACTAAAACCCCAAGGCCCTTTTCGTGTGGAATATTCTACCATACCCTGCATCTGGTACAGTTGTTTTTTTTTTTTTTTTTTTTTTGAACCGAAGTGTAGGACTTTCCTTTGATCCCTATTGGACTTCTTTTTAGTTATTCCTCTTCTCACTACACCTCACCTGCCCTGACAACAGACGAGACCACCTGAAAAATCCCTACTATGCTTTGTCTTCCAGTTCACATCATTTGGTGGGATATCCTCCAAAGATGAGCAGAAGACAGAGGATATTAAAAATCCCTCTTGCCAATTTTGCTACTTTTCAGCTGCTCTTTTAAAACTTCTACATGAGGGGGCGCCTGGGTGGCTCAGTCGTTAAGCGTCTGCCTTTGGCTTAGGTCATGATTTGAGCCCCGCTCAATCGGGCTCTCTGCTCAGCGGAAAGCCTGCTTCTCCCTCTCCCACTCCCCCTGCTTGTGTTCCCTCTCTCTCTCTCTCTGTGTCTCTCTCTGTCAAATAAATAAATAAAAATCTTCAAAACTTCTATATGAGGAACGAAGCGGAAGCTCTTAAACCACCAGACAGTTGTAGAGAGTGTGCATTTGCCTTATGCAAACTCTTTCTGACCTCTAATTCCACAAATACAAGAGTAGTAGTTTAGCAAATGGATGCAAGTAACAAGAGGAGATCCTAAAACACAAACTCTAGAAAAATGTCACTCAGCCCAGTAAAGTAGCCAAAAGTGCTGGACTTGAGGTTGAAGAGTTACTTTCGAGTCATGACTCTGTCACCAACTAGCTACAGGCCTTGAGCAAGTTTTTCTAACTTCCTTAGGATTCAGTTTTCTCATCTATAAAATGAAGAGTTGAACTTAAAAAAACCCACCTTAATAAATGAACTACAGCTCTTTGCTGCATCTACTGCAAGAATGAAGACCATTTCAGCAATCAGATTGTCAACATTCCAACAGATGTGGACATCACTCTGAAGGGACCTACTGTCATTGTGAAGGGCCCTAGAGGAACCCTGCAAAGGGACTTCAATCACATCAGCGTAGAACTCAGTCTCCTTGGAAAGGAAAAGAAGAGGCTCTGAGTAGGCAAATGGTTGACTACTGTTCGCACTACCTATAGTCACGTACAGAACATGATCAAGGGTGTTACACTGGGCTTCCGTTACCAGATGCGGTCTGTGTGGCTCACTTCCCCATCCATGTTGTTATTCAGGAGAATGGTTCTCTTGTTGAAATCCAACATTTCCTGGGTGAAAAATACATCCGCAGAGTTCAGATGAGGCAAGGTGTTGCTTGTTCAGTATCTCAAGCCCAGAAAGATGAGTTAGTTCTTGAAGAAAATGACATTGAACTTGCATCAAACTCAGCCCCCAACAGTTGGAAACAAGGGTAGCAGAAAATTTTGGGTGCTTAGATATCTATGTTTCTGAAAAAGGATCAGTTCAGCAGGCTGATGAATAAGATCTAATTTGTCCAGCTACAGAAACAGCAAGATGCCAGATGATTTTTCAAACTTACTTGTGATATTTTAAAAATGCAATAAAAGCTCTATTGATTTGGGGAAAAAAATAAATAAATACATAAACTATAAGAAAGAGGGATCCAGACAATGGAACTTTAGTCAGCACTGAAAAGAAATGAACTATCAAGCAGTGAAATAACATAGAGGAAACTTAATTGTATATTCTTAAGTGAAAGAAGCCAATCTGAAAGGGCTACATACTGTATGATTCCTTCTACATGACACTCTGGAAAAGGTAAAACTATGGAGACAGTAAAAAATATCAGTGATTGCTAGGGGGTGGAAGGGGTGAGGGAGGGATAAATAGATGGAGCACAGAGGATTTTTAGAGCACTAAAACTACTCTTTATGATACTAGAATGGTAGATACATGTCATTATATACTTGTCAGAATCCTTAGAATGTACACCAAGAGTGATCTGTAATACAGAAAAAAAAACAACAAAAAACTACCTTACACACATTAAATAATAATAGCACCACATATGTCTTACCATGTAATCCCCACAGCTAGGTTTCACCACCACCGCCATCTTACAAATGAGGAAACTGAGGCTGGAATGTGAGCACCAAAGATAGGATGTGAACCTAGATCTTCTGGCCATGAACTTGGGGTCCTCTGCTTTTCATCATATGGCCTGCCTCCCAGATCTCAAATCCAATACCATTTCTTTGGAAATGAATCTGTACCTATCTAGTGTCCAGAATACAAAGGAGAATCTTTGCAAAGCTGTTTCATTTGTTTTGTGCTATTTACAGTGTATGCAGTTTACGTGAAAGCAGTAAAATAAAACGATTAACAGTAGTAAACGGGCTCTCGTGTCATTTACTAACTATGTCACGTCTGGCAAGTTAACATCTCCAAGCCTCAGATTCCCCATTTAGAAAATGGAAGTAATGACAGGACTTTCTCTCCAGGAATGTTTTAGGGATTGTGGGAGATAGAGCATGTCAAGCACTGAGCACAGTGCTTGGCATAAATAGGGCTAAAGAAGGTTCTGTTACTATCATCCTTGGGTGCACTGTGCCGGCAGCGAGAGGCAGCGTAGTATGATTAAAAGTGTGGAGTCCCTAGGTTGAAATCCCAGCTCTGCTACATACTAACCATTTACTTTGGACCAGTTGCTTACCTTCTCTGTGCTTTAGTGTCCTTACTAGTGAAACGGGGAGGATCATAATAGCACTTACCTTGTAGGACCAGGGTGACAAGACAATGAGCTAATGCATTTAAGATGCTTAGATTAGCGCTTGGCACAGAAGCAGCTTGTGTCCATGCTAGCTATTGAAATCATCCCTCTTTCTTTCCTTCAGCAAATTTCAAGTCCATGGTTGCAACCAATTAATTGCAAGAACACTTTGGAATATATTGCCATTTGCTTAACCCACACCAAAGGAATCAGCTCTCACGATAGTCTCCCCATGTCTGACTCGGGGCTACGTCTCATCTGTTCTGATGAGCGTGCTGCAATTGTCCCTACCACCTGCATAGATCACTGGGACCAGGAGGCCTCTCTGAAGCAAACAGCCCCTGAGCAAGGTTGGCAAGTCTAGCTGGAGCCAGCAGAGCCCTTTGGAGTCCGAGTTACGATTTAGAGATCCTCGGTCACTTGCAGGGATCAGAGAGGACAGTGTTCCCAGGGTGACTATGGGATCCCTCTTCAAGGCTCTGCCTAGAGAGAGTTGCTCCAAGGGTGATGTAAGGTACTATATGGAGCTTCCAACAACTCCAAGGACCTAAATCTCATGTTCAGCCCCTTCAGCGGGACGCCGCACAGCTAGCCGTTTGGCTGGGCTTGCTCCCCAGTTTTGGTTCCTGCCGAAAGCGCGTGTATTCTGCTCTGCACATGTACTCAGTGCATCTGGCAATGCCCGAAAGCTCATTCCTTCAGCCTCTCAGATGCTAAACATACCTTACAAACATGTGTCTTTCCATTGTCAACACAGGATGGAATGCCTGTGGCAGATGGTTTAAAGGCAGGCCCAGCCAAAAAGGCCAATTAAAAAATAACATCCTTACCGGGGTCAGGGCTAAAATAAAGCATTTCCTCAGGTGGTTGCTGTGGTTATAGGAGTGTGTGTTGCACACTCATCTTGCCCACTGGTTGAAAGCATCGAGAACCTGGGACCACAAACCCCTGAGGTTACCAGGGGTTAAGCAAAGCCATGTTCCTGGAACATTTTGTCTGAAAGAAGCTGCAATAAAACCTTACTTGTATACTAAGACTATAAAACTATATTTAATATAAATATGACAATTATCGAATTAGAATTCATAGTTTGAATGAATTTTTTTTTTTTTAGATAAAACACAGAATCTGGTAGTAATTTTGCATTTCTAGGATGTTCATTCCCCTCCGGCATCAGGGATGTTTCTATGGGAAAGTTTTACAAATGTTGGGCTGAAGTCATGGGGTGAAATGCAAGAGAGAAGACAGCATCAAACAGAGGATGGAGCGCTGGGTGTGGGGTCCAGAGACCTGCGTGTGGGCTGGGACTCTGTCACCCAACTTGCCGTGTGACCTCATGGTTAAACAGGGATGTTAATCCTTGTCCCGCCTGCCTCCCAGGGCTGCTGTGAAAATCGAAGGAGACACCCCGTGAAAAGCGCTTTCCAAGCTACAGTGTGCCCCAAATGTAAGTTATTATGATTCAGCCTTGTTGTTTTTGGAAAGCTTATTTCATTTTATATATTGCATGTATCCACCGCCCCGCCCCTCCCCCCGCAGGCAGATCAAAAGTGTTTGCCTTTCTCTTCAGAGCGAGGAACCTCTGATCTGACAAAAAGAAATGAAGTCACCAGGCTCCCTCTGGCCCCGGACTGCGTCTAGGCCATTGGAGGAGCACGCTCCCTGCAAGGCCCAGCAGCCCAGTCCTCGTCACCCATACTGAGGGGAAGTTAGACAGAGCCCAGCAGTCACCGCTGTCTGAATTTCATTATGCAGGTCTCCAGACAAGCAGAGGGGAAAAGTGCAAAGGAGCGGGTCAGCGTCTGAAATGTGAGAGGGGCAGCAGTCTCTGAAGTGTATGGGAATGGAAGGAAACTTAATACTGCTCCAAAGGGGAGAGGGAACATTGCATCATGTGAAAATAATAGCAAGTGGTCAGCAGAGCTTGGGGGTTTGGGGGAGGTGGGCTTGCCCACTGACCCACTTGCAACAGGGCTTTGACTCCATTCTGTGCCATTCCAGAGTGAATCTGTACCAGGGCACACTAGTACATCAGCCCAGGGGCTCACAGGGACTGGAGATTGGGCTCAGGTCCTAAGCGACCAGGTTCCATGGGAGTACTGTTGGGGCGGGCGGGCGGGGGTTTGGGCGGGGAGAGGGCTGTCTGAATCTGAACCAGAGTTCTGAAAGGGAGCCCCAGAGTTAGGAACTGGAGAGAATGGGTTGGGTAATCAACCAGTTAGTCAAAACTACTATTTATTGAGCACTTAATATGTCCTAAATACATATTTCACTTAATCTTCACAATACCCTAAAGATAGAGAGTATCATCCCCACTTTTAGTACAAAGAAACTGAGGCTCAGTGAGTTAAGAGACATTTCCAAGGACACACAGCTAGTAAGCAGCAGAGCTAGAGTTTAAATCCAGATCTGTGCAACTCCAGGTTTCTTGATTCTAAACTCTCTGCTATAGCCCTCTCTAAACCAGAAGTGGAGCCAGGGTTGGGAATTGAGAGGAAATGGATTAAAATATAAGCACAGGAATAAGGCAGAAAGGTCTGGATTTCTTCCATGTCGGTGACTTGTTTTTCTGGGCTAGGAGAGCACGAGTGTGGTTTCCTCTATACATTTGTAATGCAAGAATTGGCCACCTTTTCCAAGTAGGTAACTCATGGCCTGACTTCTGGGGGTCTGGGCGAGGGTGGGGCTACAGTCGCTATTGGATGCAAATGCAAAAGAAGTAAGCAGGCACACAGGAAAGAGGGCATGTTGGAGGGGAACAGACTTCCTGTATCACTGTGAGATTTGCCTTTGGTTACTTTTATCATTTATCTGTTCCCACTAAGAATGCTGCATAACAAACCACTCCAACAATTAGTGGCTTAAAAATCACAACCACTTATTGTTTCTCATGCATTTCAGGGCTGGCTGAACAACTATGCTGATCTGAAATGGGCTCGCATAATGTCCGCTGGGCTTGCTCATGTGCCTGCTGCCAGATGGCAAGTCTGCTGGAAGTGGCTGATCTAGGATGGCCTCAGCTGGGATGATGACTCAGGTCTGGCCCACATAGTGTCCCATCTCCCAGAGCCTAGGTCAATACTGTTCTCATGCTGAAGGCAGAAGAGCAAGAGAAGAGCAGAAGTGTGCAGGACCTAAGCCTTCAAACTGACATACCATCTCTTCTGTCCCATTCTACCAGCCAAACCAATTCAGAAGACAACAAGATTCAAAATGGGTAGGGAAAAAGACTCCATCTCTTAATGGCTGACAAAGTCACATTGCAAAACACTTGAAGAACTGCAGGCTTTTTTTTTTTTTTTTTTTTTTTGTAGTCAGTCTACCACTGGATTCAATCTCAATCCCAAAAGTAGAAGAAAGGCAGTGTCATTTTCCAGTATTCTGGGTCATGGCCACTTCCCTTCCAGTATTCTGGGTCATGGCCACTTTGTCCACTAAATGCCATTTCTTTGTCCAATCTTTGTGTGTCTCATTGGCACTAGATTGGGAAGGGAGTGATATAATGACTCTACAGTTGGGCAAATAAAAGAATGCTTTGTTTTTAGGGGTAGTGAAATGCAGACTGCTTACCCACTGACTTCATCTCTATAGTTTTTATAACTAAAAAAGTTGCATTAGGAAGTATACTTACAGTTTCTCCATGAACCATCCCAGGCTATCTGTATGTGTATGGGAATGCCGTCTAATTCCAGGAAACAGAAGTTCATTTAATAAGATGAATACTACTAATACTTCCACCCCACTGCTAATACTGTGCTTGTGATCTGAATTTAAGACACTAAACTCCAGCAATTTATTTCCTACAATGTGGCTGAAATGAGCTCCCTAGAGGTATGCCTTTGAAATCCCTTGTTTATGAAATTATTGGCATCTGTATGCCAAGAACTGACTGTTAATATACTGAAAAGACCAGACTTTGCTGGTGCTGAACTCAAAGGAGCAACATGGTTGCCCGCTCTGACACCAGACTGCCTGGATTTGAATTTCAGCTCCATACATATGATTTGTAACCCTGAGCAAGTTACTTAAGCTCTCTGTATCCTGGTTTCCATCTGTAAAATGGGGATAAAGCAAGTGCCAATGTCACAGGGATGACATGATTCAAATAGATGCTGAAAACCAGGGCACAAAATCACCATCTCAAAATATCTGCATCCTCATGGTCAGCGCAACCTTATTTACAAGAGCCAAGCCATGGAAACAACCTAAGTGTCCATTGACAGATGAATGGCTAAAGAAAATGTGAACATTATTCAACCACAAATAATAAAGAAATCCTGTCATTTGTGACAACATGGGTGGACCTTGAGGGCATTATGCTAAGTGAAATAAGTCAGACAGAGAAAGATAAATATAGTATGATCTCACTTGTTTGTGGAATCTAAGAAACCAAACTCACTGATACAGAGAACAGATTGGTGTTTTCAGAAGCAGGGGTGGCGGACTGATGAAATGGGTGAAGGTGGTCAAAAGGTATAAACTTCTGGGGCACCTGGCTGACTCAGTTGGTTAAGTGTCTGACTCTTGATCTCAGCTCAGGTCTTGATCTCAAGGTTGTGAGTTCGAGCCCTACACTGGGCTCCACACTAGGTGTGGAGCTTACTTAAAAAAAGGTATAAACTTCCTGTTATAAAATAAATAAGTCCTGGGGATGTAACGTACAACGTGGTGACTATAATTAATAGTACCGTATTGTATATTTGAAAGTTGCTAAGAGAGTATATCTTAAAACTTCTCATCACAAGGAAAAAGAAATTGTCACTATGTGAGGTGATGGATGTGAACTGAAATTATTGTGGCAATCATTTCATAATATATTGAGATATCAAATAATTATTTTGTATACCTTGGATTACTGCAATGTTATATATCAATCATATCTCAATCAAACTGGAAAGAAAAAAACACGATGCTGAGAACAATGCCTGGCCATAGTACCCACCCCCAGAGATGGACCTGTCATTATTGGCTTTAGGCCTTGCTGCCTGGAGGACCTTGAACAAGTTACATAGTCTCCCTGGACCTGAATATCATCATCTGTACAATGGGAGAAATATTACCTGTCAAAACTACAGCACTCACCTTAGAGGATCCTGTAACTTCAGACCTCAGATGGCCTTTCCTGCTCCTGAGAGCCCCTTGGAACAAAGCCTTGTCTCAGGCTGACCCACAGAGATAGGGCACTAGAAAGGGGAGGGAGGGATTCAGTCATTATTCTACTATCTGGACATTCTTCAACTGATTCAGTGCTAGTGGCATTCTTCCATGTTCATGCCAAGTGCTGGCTCAGCTCACTTGCTCTGCTCTTGGGAATTTGGTGGAGGTACACAGAAGGACTCCTTCTCACTCTCTGCCTACTCCCTGCTCCATCAGCCACCTTCTGGAAAGCCCTTTCCAGATTGACCTGATGCTACTCTGCCCTGAATGTACAAGAAAAAGCCAAGTTGTGCATAGCTTCCCTGCCCTTGGCTGCTCCCCTTTCTTTGACCCTGGGTCCAGGACACAAAGAAACAACTTCTCTGTTGTCCTCAGCACAAGGCATGGGGTGGGGGTGAGACCCTCAACACACAGCAGTGAGCACTCTGGTTTGGGGACTAGAAAGCAGTAATGTGCCCAGTGGCCCAAACTAGAAAATCCCATCCAGCTGTGACCAATAGGACTCCCACCAAGTCCTGGCAACCCTTTGCTTAAAGGAGTATATTTTTCTTCATCCCTGCTGCTATCACCTTAGTTCTGGTCTCATCCTGAACCACCCGGAACATGGCAAACCTTCCTACCCTGCTCCATCCTCTTCCTCCAAGCCAGAGAAAAACTTGGTAATTACTTAGCCATTTTCCAGTGGTTTCTATGGTCCTACAGGAGCAGAAAGTGCAAAACCTTGCACTTATGACCCTTAATAGTTCAGCTGGGGCTTTCCTCCATTCCCATGCCATGCCACTTCCCCATACACAAGGCTTGCTACAACCAAACTGAATTTCACCCCAGGGCCCTAGCACACCATCTTTTCAGCAAGCTCAGCCTTTGAATAGCATCTTAAATGCCACCTCCGCTGGGAAGCCTCCCAGCTTTCCCAAGCAGGATTAGTTGTTGTACACCACAGCACTTTGTACCTACTTCCATCAACACACATACCATGTTATGGTGTAGTTGTGTGTCTATACCGGCAATCCAGATCTTAGTGCCGTAGAGCTGGATAAGGTTCATTGAATTCCAGTTTTGTGCCCTGTGGAAATCTGAAACCTTTCCTATGGCTTCTGTGAATTCCCAGGGATCAGTATTTTCCTTGTCCCCCAGCTGCACCTCCCGCTTATAGGCATGCTGCCTCTGGTCTGCACAACGTTGACCCCAATATGACAAGAGCCACCATATAAGGCTATATAGATTATTCCCTGCTCAAGGGCACCACCAAGCTAGGGGGGAAAGGAGGTTGAAAAAAACCAGCCTGTGCCCTGCTCACCTTCTGCACCCACCCAGAAGGGGCTCCTTTTACCAATTTGTACAAATGTTCAACATGGGCTGGCAGTGGTCCCGTGCCCATTCTAAGTTTCCAATACGAACCCTTCCTTAGAGTAAGCATTTGTGGTACAGAAGACTACTTGCCTACTTGGAGTGGGGGCCGGGGACGGGGGGAAATGCAGGCAGTGGCATTTCTATTCTTAAAATATTGTTTTAAGTTTCTTAGTGCCATTTCTTCCTGCATAATCCCCAACCTCACACCAGCTCATTGGATCCTCTCATCTCTCCCATCTCTGCTCTACTCCCCTTCTCTTCCCTTCCCTCCTCTTCCCCCCAGCTTTTCCTACTCCTCCATCTCCCCCTCCCCTTCTTCCTCTTCTTCTCCTTCTTCTATCTCTCATTTTCCCATGAGCAACTTAACCACTTTATTTGTTCTTTATTTTTTGGCCAACATAGACTTTCCCCGTCAGGAATTTATCAAGACGTTTTTGCAAACAAAGAATGTTCATTCCCTTAGGGACACCAATTGATACCTACTGTTAAGATAATGCACAGTTCATATTATTACACATACGTCTGTTTCCCTCCATGTTTATTAATTTTTGAAGGGTAGAAGTTGTGTTTCCGTGGCGCCCATCTTAGACTTTCAGCCAATATTTGGTAAATGAAGAACTGAAATCACTTGGGGCTAACCAAGACCAGGCTCCAGGTTTTCACTCTGCCACTTATTAGGTGAGGACTTGAGACAATTAGCCTCTTAGAGCCTCAGTTCCTTCACCTATAAAAGCATCAGGACTAACTTGAGGTAAGTGAGGCACTCAGGGCTCAACACTTAAGGAAGCACTCACTTGTAGGCTTGACAAAATTTAAGGAGCCTGAGAGTGGGTGCCTCCTTAAATTTTATACTCTGGGAAACTCACTTCCCTCACCCTAGTCCTGGCCCAGCTCTATAAAATAGGGATAATAATGGTACCCATGTCATGAACCACTAGCATTTCTTACTAAGTCTTAGTAAAGTGTTTTAAGTGCAGTCTTTATTATCATTTCAAGCTGCTTTATATAAGTCATTAAATGTAATATAGAAGCTATTTGAAAATTAGTGTTTAGAGTTGTAATGATTCAAACAGACCTCTAGTAATTTTCAGCTTGGTAGAAAACAATGTTTTTATACACACATTTGTTGTCCTGTGAGTTGGGATATATATGAATGCATCTTCATGTCTTATTCTGAATCATTATTACATAGAGTTGTCATGTGAGAAGCAGATTCATTTTATCTTGGAGCATCTGTCCACAGGAATTTTGGGCTAAGCCTATTGGACATCACTATTGGTTTTTTATGTCCACTGCAAGTTAATCCAATGCCTGTCTCTCCCATTTGGCATCATTTGGCATCACAGATGCCTCTATTTGTACCTCAGTTTCATTGTTCTGAAGGCTGAACGCCTATCAAGTTGGGTGTTTCAACATTCCTAGGCTGGACACCTGCCCAGGTGCCCTTGGAAAACTGCCTCTCTTGGCCTACTGCCATGAAAATTCTCATGCATATCTCCTCTTTGGATTTCAAACAAGATCCCATTTTGACATGTTAGACTCTTCTAAAGTTCTCTTTTTAAAAAATTCTTCCTGACATTGAACCAATGCCTTCTGAGGGCATTAGGCCAGGTATAATTTCTTACATGTACCCCTTGGGGAAAAAATTATGATTATTTTGAAATATACTCAACCCATCCATAAAATTATAGCAAACTTTTAAAACTGTAAATGTCTGAACTCAGCTTAGTAAAATTTTCAGAAAGAAGAGTCACAGTACTCCCTCGGGGTAGAAATAAAAATCTGAGCTACACCCCTCACCCTCCTCACATACACCTGAGGCTTCCCATGGTGAAAATTCCATGTTCTATAGCTCATTTGAAGTAAGATCATCCTCAAATACCCTTCAAACTAGGTAAAACCATCCAGCTGTTCTCACACGAGGTAATGCCAAAGAAACAGGAACTTAACCACATTTATGTGGCTGGGACTGATGATGGACAGGTGAGGATGTCAGGTGGGTTGAGGGATACTGAGTAGTGGTGGACAGTACCTGGCACATAGCAAGGCTTCCATAAATGCTATCATCTGTTATGTGAGAGATGCAGGGTGCAAAAGCGCCCACCCCCCATCATTACATCTATAAGAAACAAATGAGGAAACATATAAAGCAAAAAGATTGCTAGAAAGTACACAAAAATGTCAACAATAGTTGTGTTTGGATGACCAGGAATTCTTTCCCCTTCTTTTTTTTAAGATTTTACTTATTTATCTGAGAGAGAGCAGAGCAGCAGAGAGAGTGGGAGAGGGAGAAGCAGACTCCTCGCTGAGCAGGGAGCCCGACGTGGGGCTCGATTCCAGGACCCCCCCGAGATCATGACCTGAGCCAAAGTCAGACACTTAACTGACTGAGCCACCCAGGCCTCCCTTCCTTTCTCCTTTTCGATATGTTCTCATTTTTCTTTAATGAACATGTATTGGGTTTATCATGGATAGCATACAATGTTATTAAATTTTGAGAGATATTTTTGAGCTGCTCTCTTTTGTCTGCTCTCAGCCTTTTACAAATCAAATACACTCAGGACCTCTGAAGTATTCTGAGGGGAAGGATGTGAGGAAGACTTCATGGGAAATGAAGGGACCCGTCCTCTGGAAATGAAGCTAATCTTTTTTTTTTTTTCTTTTTCTCTTTGTCTTTCTTTTTCTTTTTTGTTTTCTCTTTTCTTTTTCTTCTCCCTCCCACCCCACGTGGAGCTGAATCAATGATTTGCAGCTGTGACTGCTGCCACATTTATTTCTCTAATTTTTTTCTACCAAAAATTCCCATTGCCAAAGCTGCCTGTGCAAAACAAAAACACATAAACATTTACAAGTGTGTTGTTATTGTTTTTTAAGCAAAACAAAAATGAATTTCTCCTAAAAACAGCCAGACCATGTGGGTCAACCTTTTTTTTTTTTTTTAAGTTCCTTTTTTCACACCAGCAGATTTAGCAGCCAGAAACTGCTGGAGTCTCTTCGCAGAATCCAAGCAACATAAAGGCATTGACCTCCGGTAAACTCCTGACCAGCCCAGCCAGTGAATAAAGTAAACAAAAATCCCACAACTAAAGCTTGATTTTCTGCCCCAGCTGTGGGACAGGATGTGGATGTTTTAAAACAAACAAACCAACAACAAAATGCAACCACCACCACCAACTCCCAAGCGCCAGGGTGTGGCCCCACTCACCCTGAGCAGCAAGCAGCGCGAGTCCTTCCCAAAATGCTCCTGCAAGAAATCCTGCATGAAACGTGACTCAGAGCTCCTGGACTGTTAGAGCCGAACTGGAGGTCACCTGGCACTCATTAAAAGCCCTGACTCAGGTGCTATGTGTGGAGGGCCTTAGTTAATAGGTTGGTGCAGCAGTTGACAACCTTGAGTGCACTGGGCATGTCCTGCAGCTTTGTGGTGAAAGAGGCGGTTAAAATGATCAATGATGGAGCATCCCCCAGGTCAGGTCCCCTCACCTGCCTTATCTCGGTTCATCTCTACAACGACCCTATGAAGTGAGGATCATTGTTCCCATTTTGCAGGAACAAAATGAGGAAACTGAGGCCCAAAGAAGCAAAGGAACTTGAGGAGAGTCACCTAATAATTTCTCAGCAGAGCCTGGAATAAAACCCAGACCCCCTAGCAGTTGCCCTTATAAGGATGACTGGGAATTCCCTGGTGTGGAGGACACATCCCTGGAATCTCCTACATTAGGAATTGTCAAACCCCAAAGTCCAACTACTCAACCTGATCCTGTGTCTAAGCAGGTTTCTGAGTGGTTTAAAGGAAGGGTGAGGTTCTTTTTAAATTAACACCTTTGGTCCTGGTGTGCCTGTGTCACCACAGCAACCGTTAACTCCCTGTGGAGTCCGCAAGCAGATCTCAGGAGATGAAGAGGGTGATGGCCATCCCATCTAGTCTCTGAATCTTATCTTCTGATAGTACAGGAGCCAGGCTCTTCCGGCCTGATCCTCAAGTGGCCACCGCTTCCTCAGCACACTTTATTTGAGCCTGGAGGGTGATGGGGTTAGAAGATAACGGGCAAATATTTTAGGACCAACTCCTCATAAAAGAACAGGGAGGCCTGGGAGAGGATTTCCCTAAATCTAATCTATCCCTGGTGGGACAAAAGTCAATCTTTAGGACCATGCCAGAAGACAGTAAGAGGGCTTGTTGACTACAAACTTTATCTAAAGTTCTCAACCCAATGTTAAAATCAGGAGAAAATGCTTTTGGGGGGAAATATATTATATATATATTATATATATATATATATATGTCATGAGGAGCTCCCTTCAAAATTAACAGTATATTTTAAGGCATAATTTGTCTATTCTAAAGCCTCCTGTCTTAACTATTACAAAATCTTCCCTCTTGAGAATCTTGGCACGATGTTAGATTGGGCACTGATTAGTTCGGGGCAGAAGGGGATTGGCATGCACTCACTCGGGGTAGGGAGAGATTTAGGTCTTTTTGAAGAGAAGGAACAGAGGTGAAAGAGATATAAAAATGTAACCCTCCCCCCAGGGCTTGGTTCCCACAGCTGAGCTGCTGATGCTATAAGCAGGCTTCTGCTTCATAAGAAAATGACCCCCTTAATTTTCGCTCTAATTTCCTTTTGGTCATAATTACCTGTTATTATAATAATCTTATTACCACAATACAAAGCTCTAGAGGATAGGGAAAATATAAAAATCACCACTAATCCTATCACCAGCCCATAACAACATTTTAGAGTTTGTTGTGTTTTTTTTTCCCTGCAAGTCTTTTTCCCTCTGTATGAACTTCATTCATCCATCCAATAAATATTTATTGAACAACTGCTACGTGTCAGATCCTGAGGTCTCTCTTGTTGTAGACATTGTGCCAAACACAATCTTCTCCCTCATTCTTACTGAATAGTATAAATAGCTTATATTTCTACCATTACAAAAGAAAAAGACAACATAAAAACCCTCAAAATTAAACTCTATCCTCAAAGCGCAAGGTGCTGTCCCAGGAGCACCTTGGGAGATCCTGAGGGTGGGAAGCGACTGGGGGCCTAAAGTCTGGTTGTTTCTCATTCATTTGTGCCCAGGAGAGGGAGTCGCCTCAACTGGTTGGAGAGCCTGGCCGGTCACTCATCTCTGGGCAGGTCCATCAGCCCCAATGTCGTGCGTCCTCGAAAGGAGGAGAGATGTCTCCCTGAAAGGAGCAGGTTTTTCTACTTCATACCTCCCACACCTTCTCACCTCCACTGACCTGGAGCTTGGACAACCTGGAAGCCTTGGACACTTCATCCCAGGGAAAGAGCACAAAACCTCTAGACAATCTGTTCTGCTCCTCAGGCCCCTGGAACAAATAAGATAGCAGTCCCCTGCTTGCCCGTCTTGCCCTCCGTGACAGTCAGCCTGCAGTCCCTGGCCCCCTGTGCCACCCACACTGGAATGTAAACGCAGAAACCACCAATATTCCTGGGATCCAACAGCCAGCACAGGGTGCGTGTGTCTCCATCCCACCTGACAGGAACCCAGAACTCTCCTCGCGCCCTTCCCCCCACAACCCCTCTCCCACTTCAGGGCCCTAAGCTGCTCTCCTCCTGTGTTCATCAGCCCCCCTACCCAAAGCTCAGGAGGGAAACTTAGCTGATAGAAAATGGGGAGACAGTGGGTCCAGCAGACTTCTTGGAGGCCTCCTCCTAATGCAGAGGGGCTTACTCAATGTGAGGGGCCCTGAGGAAGTGGGGGCACTCACCTCCTTCTCCATGCGTCACTCACCCCAACCCCCATCACGGTCTTTGTACCTGGAGCAAAAGCAGCACACATGAGGACAGGAAAACATATTCATATGATAATAACAACAGTCAAAATCTCTTGAGGATGATAACTAGCCAGGTCCTTTATGTAGATCACCTCATTTAATTCTGAGAATAGATTAGTTATTATCCCCATTTTATTTTTTTTTAAGATTTTATTGATTTGAGATTGAGAGAGAGAGAGAGAGATCACAAGGGGGGGGAAGGGTGGAGGGAGAAGCAGACTCCCCACTGAGCAGGGAGCCCGATGCGGGACTCGATCCCAGGACCCCGGGATCATGACCTGAGCCGAAGGCAGACTCTTACCCAAATGAGCCACCCAGGTGCCCCTATTATCCCCATTTTAAACATGAGGAAACTTAAGCTCAGAGAGGTACTGTGACTTGCCCAAGGTCACACAGCTAGTAAGTGGCGAAGGGGGGACCGGACGCAGGCACTCTCCCTCCAGAGCATACCTCATTTACATGGGAAACATGATATGATGGATTTGCTCTTGCCAACTTACCAGTTGGAGCACGTTGAGTCATATTGCCCCTTCATAAAACAAGGGTAATGTATCTCCTCAACTCATCTGAACCGTATGCTTCCCCACACTCCTCCATTCTCACTCGTCCTCATTTCCACAAAACAAAAATTATTTTCTCTGTGGAGAAACTCTCGGGAGGAAAGCAAGCTAATTGGCTCAACCACAAATCCTAGGGATATGTGCATTTTTTAAAAAGTGTAAGCTCTTGGGCTTGGGCATGGTGGGAACATTTTTTTAAGGATTTTTCTTTTTAAGTAATCTCTACACCCAGTGTGGGCTCGAACTGACAGCCCTGAGATTAAGAGTCGCATGCACCGCCGACTGAGCCAGCCAGGCATCCGGTGAACATTTTCAATTGTGGATGGTGGCAATGAAGAAAGCAAAATTTTTCATTCCATCCAACCCTACTTACAATTCGGTTTGGCCTTACAAATAGCTCCTTACAAGAATGCCGAATGTGGCATCAGGAAACCTGCTTTTTAGATTTAGTCTTGTCAACCACTAGCTCTTTGATTCTAAGTGAGTCAACTGATTCCTGAGAGCCTCGGTTTTCCTACCTGTAAAATTGGAAAAACGCCTAGCTGCTAGTGTTGTTGTGGAGCTTAAATAAGATAATGGATACAAAAGGGCTTTGAAAATCCTAAATAGCCACAAGACAGGAGATGTTATTGTGGCTTATGATAATTAAATTCTAAGTTGTCTAATCCTAACAGTATTACACTAATACTGTTAGTATTAGTACACTAACTAGTATACTGTTAATACGAACAGTCATAATGCTAATAGTAAGTTCAAGTGGCATTTAATTTCTGGTAAAAAGCACTTTCCAGAATGACATCCAGCTTTGGTCTGTGTCATATAGTTTCCTGGTAAATACTTGTGTATGGGTGGCAAGTGACATCCCCAGATGTGTCTAAGCCAATAGGAACACAAGACAGCCATCGTCCCTATGTCTGATTCCTCCTCTCCGAAAAATGTTGATCTGTTTTAAGTAATGGCACACACTTGGCATATTTGAAGAGTAGCCAAGAAGCCAGTGTGGCCAGAGCACAGAGAGCCAGAGAGATGGTGGGAGGGAATGAGCTCAGAGAAGCAGTAAGCAACAAGGGCCTGTGGCATCATGGAGGGGGAAAGCCACTGGAGGGCTGTGAGCAGAGCATGATGTGACCCAGCTCAGGTCTGACTGGACCCGTCCTTGTGGAAGCAGGGAGGCCAGTGAGGAGAACATAATCTCTACAAGAGGCATGGTGGCTGGGAGCAGGGAGTTCGCGGTAGAGGTCGTGAGAAGTGACAGGAGTCTGGACAGAAGAAAGGATGTGTAGGAGAGAATGATGTCAAGGATGAGCCCCAATTTTGGCCTGAGCAATTGGAAAGAGGACAGTGGAGCAGGTCCTGGGAAGATGAGGAGTTTAGCTTTTAAAAATAATTGAAAGAATTATACTTTTCTGTTTTACTAAGAAATTTTTCCATATGTGATTCTTTAAGGCCCACGTATGCATAATACACATTATGCTTTTCAAAGCAACTTCTCATCCATGACCTCATTTGATCCTTAAAGCCACCTCATGAAGTGGCTGCCATTGTCCCCCACTGGATCAGTGAGAATTGAAGCAGAGAAATGAAGTCACTGTGGCTGAGAGAAAATAAGGGATCTGTTATAGAAATAAGACTTTCTGCAGTGCGTGAATGCCAGAGAAGTGTGCATTGGCTGTCGTGCCTCAAGTTGATACAGGTCAGTGGACTGGAGGTTGGGAAGGAAAGCTGGACGTGAGATGACCTGAGCAAGGACAGACTGGAACCCATGTGGAAGATCTAGACCCCACGGAGATCAGCTGGAACCCACATCTGTCTTCCACCACCTCCAACCTCAGTGTCACGGATGACCTCCAGGAGAAGCTGCGCCCTTTGCATGTAACTGCACACCCTGCGGCCAGGACTTGACAAAGCGACAGGAGGACTGTAGGAGCTGAAGGCGCTGTGGGCCCAGCTCCACCGACTAGCTGAGCTAGCAGGTCAGCAGCAACGTGTGAGTGCCACCACAGTGCCTGCTACAGCTTGAAAATGGTTCCTGCTTCGCTTCCACCTCCAAAGCTAGCACACACGTGCCCTGTGGCCAAGTCTAAATGGGATCCACCAGGAAGGGAGTTCTGGGAACCAGGATTCCAGCTTAGCTGAGTTGACATGGTAGCAAGCCACCACACCCACTTTACAAATGAAGAAAATTACCACCCAGAGGAATTAACTGACTTGCCCATGGCCTTACAGAACAATGGTAGCAGCCCTTTTATCAGGACCCAGGTTTGCTGACCCCTTGCCAACTGGCTTTAGTTCGTATTTTTAGAACCGTTGCTGTGTGGCAGACACTGAACCATCACATACAATGCTCACCGCAACTCTATGGAATCGGTATTATCAGGCCCATTTATAGATGAACACGCTGAGGCTCAAACAGAAGTCCATGAACCAGTGTAACACAGCTACGAAACGGATAGCTGAGACTCAGACACGGGCTGGTCAGACCTCAAGTCCCACACTCAGCTTCCAGGTGTGTGGTCTTTCTTGCCGCTAACTCCATGGCCACCCTGTTTCCCAGGGTGGAGTATCAGAATGTGGCTCACAGTAAGAGAGGTGCTGGCACCCCAGTTTCTCCTCTGTAGCCTGTGGTGCTGGTCTGGGGCCAGTTCCCTCCCACTCCCAGGAACCGTGTAAACACATGGTGGGAAGTGCTTTGGTTAGCACAATGCGGACTTGCACTGACGGGAACATGGACTCCAAACACGACAGGCCAAAACACCAGGGGAGCACAAGTTGGGACCTGGAAGAAGACCACCAGCTCTCAGCCACAGGAGCCAGAAGCATACAAGTCAAGCGAGTGCTCCCTCCATACCGAGAAATTTCCCAGGATTCCAGAGAGGCCAGAAAAATAGAGCTGGGTGGGCATGGGGAAAGGCCTATTACTTTAGTAATGAAACCTGAGATTTGTGGCTCTGGAATTAGCAAACAACTCTACCTTCATTTAATTCTCTTGATGATGATCATCATCATAACAGCTATTATTACTTGCTGTAGTTGATTGCTTATCTTATGCCAGGCACTCTTCTAAGCATTTCACATTAATTAATCCAGTTATTCCTCATAATAAGCATATACAGTAAGGACATATTATCGTCCCCATTTTACAGATGGGGAAACAGAGGCACAAAAAGTTTAAATAACTAGATCACAGTCATGGGAGTCCACAGAGTCTGCCTCCAGACCCTAACCTCTCAATCTTTACCCTAATCGATTCCCCAATAACCCTGTGAGGGAAGGAGACAGGAAGAGAGAGTGGGAGGACTATGGTTCCCATTTTGCAGATGAGGAAACTGAGGCTTGGGATGGTTGACTAAGGTATCCAAAGCCTTCCTGGCAAGCCCAGGTTTGAAGCCAGAGCTGTTGGACTACAAAGCCCATGCTCTTTCTACTCTGTCACTCAGCCCTGCTGACTGGCACATTCAGGACTTGAAACCAAGTCTTTCAATGTCTAACTCAAGCCCAACCACAGTTCCTTATGATTTGCTAGAAAGACTCATTGCTTTGAATACCCAAGTAGAAAGTTTGTTAGCCAAAGTCAGCCTGGAGGCCAAAAGCCATCTACCTGGTGAGCAGAAGGGTCCTCTCACACTTTAGGTCAGCAAAGTACCAACACTGACTTCCACTCCTTGGAAATGGTGCCTCACACCCTGGAACCAGAAAAACAAAAATAGTCTAATTCTTGGAGGTTAAACAACCCCAGCTCTGGTATATAGTCATCACCGTTGGTCACCTCAGTGTTCAGCCCATTGGAGGCAATGGTGTAATCACTTATCCATAGTTCAACAAAACTCATTCACCCGGCATGGGCTTACTAGGTATCACCTCCATACAGGCACACTAGGAGGGAGACATACCTAAGGGAGCTCACACACAGTTCCTGCCTTCAGTGACTTTACTGAAGAGCAGGAAAACTCCAGTTTCCCCCACCCCGACCCCCACCACATACCTAATGTCAAGAACCATCACAGGAGGTGTGCCTGGGTGGCTCAGTCATTAAGCGTCTGCCTTCGGCTCAGGACATGATCCCAGGGTCCTGGGATCGGGCCCCGCATCGGACTCCCTGCTCAGAGGGAAGCCTGCTTCTCCCTCTCCCACTCCCCCTGCTTGTGTTCCCTCTCTTGCTGTCTCTGTGAAATAAATAAATAAAATCTTAAAAAAAAAAAAAAGAACCATCACAAGAACCAGAAGTTAGTAGGAAAAGAGCTGATAAAAATCTCTTTCATCATTCATCAATGATGAATTTCATCAATAATAAATAAATATACATTGAGTTTCTCTTATTTGTCAGGCACTCTGCTAGGTGCTTTGGATGTGAATCACATTTAATCTTCATAACACCCCCGTATGGGAGGTATAATTATCTTTATTTTACAGACAAGGAAACTGAGGCACATGTAGAGAAAATGACTTGCTCAAGATTACCCTGTGAGATAGTGTTAATAATTCTAGAACCCAGATCTGACTTCCAGCTCAGAATTCTTTTACTTTGTTTACTTATTTTTTTAAAGTAAGCTCTATGCCCAATATGGAGCTTGAACTCATGATCCTGAGATCAAGAGTCGTATGCTCTATCAACTAAGCCAGCCAGATGACCTCAGCTCAGAGTTCTTCTAATCCCATCATACTAGAAAGGGAATTATAAGATCCTGGAGATCCAACAGCAAAGCCAACACACAAAAAGGAGCGAGAGAGGCAAATCAATGAGAAAGCAGTTAAAGAGATTTTTTTTTTACCTACCAGTGAAAAGCAGAAGTGGCTAAGACAGCTGGTTGCCCAACAATGTGACACGTGCCCCTTCCATAATGGAGAGGGGTCACAGGGAAATTACTGACAAGCCAGGGTCTCCCTTTCCCGCTGCGTCTTGATATGGCCATGTGACTTGCTTTCACCAATAGAAGGTGGACAGAAGCCACTCATATCACTTTTGGGTTGGAGTGTTGAAGAAGTGGGTATGCCTTCTCTACTCCCATTTCTCCCATTGACTGGCAGAAAACAGATGATCCTGTGGACACTGGGTTTCCTGCAACCCTGCTGGGAGAAGAGCAGCTTGGTAAACAGAAACACACATTTGGGCTTGATGTGAACAAGAAATGAACTTCCATTCTGTTGGCTCATTATACGTGTGTGTGTGTGTGTGTGTGTGTGTGTGTTGGGGGGGTGGTGTTACTTGTTACAGCTTCTAGCATGACCTTAACTAAATATGGTAGATGAGGCTGAAGTGCCAGCCTCTGAGTTATAACGGAATAGAATTCATTCCATCTTACGGGTAGTCAATAAATCAACCTATATGTACCTGTTTTGAATCACAGGTACATATGGGTTAACTGGACTTTCTAAGGACAGGAAAGGCCTTTGATCAGAGGGTCAACCTCCACTAGGCAGGGAGATGCTCAAGAATGGGAGCTCTCCCTGCTCTCTGCATCCAGGTCTTGCACAGTGCTTGGTTCTCAGTACACATCTAACATGCGCTCAATGAACAGATAACTTCCTAGGTCCTCCTTGCCATCAGAACATAGTAAATGGATGCAAGACTGAAACTTAGTGGCAAATATCTTGGAACCAGAAGCAAAGGGAGTATTTCTAGAATGTCCAGGAAAGAATCTTAACTAAGCCTCGAGCCTCTCTCCACCAGACAGACCCGACGAACATGACAGCAGATAGCAATATGGAAATATTTGGGACTTAAGTGACATTACACTTACCGTAAAACAAAAGAAGAAACCCCTCAATAAAATACCCTTGTGACGGCCCCACCGGGGAAGGTTCCCTATGGCATGAAGGGAAGTGTTACAATCGTTGTCTTAATCCATGACCAGCCCTCGTATCCCCAAAGGATTTTTTTGCTTAGGAAGTTGTATGGGGAGGGCCTTGACATACCCTGGGGGAGAGCTTATGGTAAATGTTTTAACAGGGTACAGTAGCCAAAATATGATACTTGATGTGGAAGGAAACGCAGATGGTGCTTGAGATGTCAGGAAATACAATTTTCTGTTTTATCTGGGGAAAAATTTTTCCCTGAATTCCAGAACCTTCAGTGATCTGGCCTCATAGAGAGTCAACTCAACACAAAAGGATCTCTTTGTATTTGTTCAGGATGGGGTCCTGGCCCCCTACACCTGGGACCACTCAGCAACTGGACTAGGTCCCTCTAACTAAAGCTGCAGCAGAATTCAAGTGATTCAACTAAGAAAGAGATTCATTCATTTGAAGGCCTGCAGGCTGATAAACACGGAGTAGAGGGGGAGAGCCCGTGCTAGATGGCAAGTGCTCCACAGATATCACTCCTTTACCGTGGGCACTTTGAAGATATCTTCACAACTCTGAAAAGCAGGTTTCCTACTACCACCTTACGAACGCATCCAACTAAGGCACGCCAGCCATCCAGGCAGGAAATAGCAGGGCCTGGCTTCAAGTCCAAATCTAGAGGATGCCAAAACCCACCATGCACCGCAGATGCCCCTTAGGCGGTAACCTCCCGACTCCAGATGCAATATGCTTCCCACCACATCGCCGCTGCCTGGGGCAAAGGGAAAGACATTCCTGCCCTAAATTACACACAGTGCCTCCACATCAGGATTTGGCTTTGCTGAAAGGACGGGGCTAAAATATCTATAATTTAAAGGATCAGGAGATACCATAAATACATGATTTCTCAGGAAAACCCTTGGCCCCTCGCTTTGGTGCCTAGTTAATTCAACTGCCATCACCACCGAAGGCAAGAGCATGCATTTCTCCTCTCTTGCCTCTTGCCTTATAAGCATTAACTGTTGTTCTTGTAACCTTTTACAATGAGGTGCCTGAAATATAACACTCTCAGCAGTTTAGAGCACAAAACTGACTTTAACACATTATGGTACATTTGGGGATTCAAACCTCCTGGAAGCAGGTCAAACGCAGGTACCGAGTTTGCTGTAGAATTCAGCTCGCTGAGTCGGACACATAAAGCTGCATTTGCATTCCAATCTGTTATACCTCTAAGCCCAGCTAGACGATTTCCCCAAGCCCCAACACTGGGGAGTGCCAAGCTCATTCTGGCTGGAAACCAAGTACAGTCTCCAGAGCTTAGGCCAAAATTGTTTTTTCCAGGATCCCTTGACATGACTAGGTCACCTGCCTTCTTTTCTGAGCCCCCCTGAATTCCCCTCTAGCCAGCCATTCTTGCTCTTTACCCAAACCTCCTCTCACAAGTTTTCTTTTCCTTTTTTTATCTTCATCCCATAGAATCATCATTTTTAAAACTTTTATATCTCTTAGGCATTTAAAACTGCCTACATATCACAAAAATAGGACACAAAAGTATCATCCACATCCTGCCACTTGTCCGGTCCCTCGTTCATTCACAGACACAATAGCTACAGAGTTAGCATAATTATATTACAGATACAATTTGGTAGCTGCTATATTCCTTTATGGCTGGGATGGCAAATGGGCCTCATCTCTCACCCTGACTTTGGCCGGTCTACCTAGGAAGCTGACTTGAAAAACTCCTAGACTCAGCAGGTGAGCGTGCTGGGACAATTAGGGATTTTTGTCACTGACTCATGTTATGGAGAAAGGATGGGGTGGGAGGGGGAGCACATGAACATATCCACTTTTTTATACTGCCAATGTCTGCTGTAGATTGTCTGATAACATCACCTCTACCAATTCCTCCTGTCCCTGGGGGCATGGAGGTTGAGTCTCTGTCCCCTTGAATCTGGGCTGGCTTTTTGACCAGTTTTGGCCAATAGAATGCAGTGAAAATGACACCGTTGACATCCAGCCCTTTGAGGTCTCGAAGCCTCTGTGTACCCTCTTGGGATCCAGCCACCATGTAAAGAAATTCAAGTTGGACTAGATGAGAGATCCCATGGAGAGAGAGAGAGAGAGAGAGAGAAGCCCAGTCAGTCCCAGATGCTCCAGCCACCTCAGTGAAGCTCCAGGCACAGAAATGAAGCCATCTTGGATATAGCCCCATGAGGCTCCTAGCTGAATGCACGCACATTAGTGACCTGGGGAGTACCACATGCTCTGGAAGAATTTTCCAGCAATACCCAGAAAATCCACAGAATCATGGGAAATAATACAATATTGTGGGTTTGGGCCACAATTTCAGGGGATTCTGTTACACAACAGTAGATAACATGCAACATTATTATTTTAATAGCTGATATTCCTAATTTCCACTTTAGACCATCACATCACCTCCTGCCTAACATCTTCCTTGACTCTTCTCCACCCAAATGGAAATTGCAATTCTCTCTTTTGTGCCTCTCTGACTCCTTATCTGTCTCCCCTACTGGACCGTGGACTGATAGAGGCCACTGTCTGGGTTTCATTCATATTTCTATCACCAGCTGTATAAGAGAGGGCATAGTGGTAAGAGCTCAGTAAATGTTTAATGAATGAATGAACCAAATTAATAAATTGCCCATGGCACTGTGTCTTCTCTCTGCCTGCAATACTGTCTCCTCTCCCCTCCATGCACTGGCATGTCTCCTTCACTTCACCAAATCTCTTATCAGCAAGGATTCCCGCTACCACCAGATCCAAAATAGCAACTTCCTCTATCCCTCTACAGCCTTTTATTCACCTTTATTTTCCTTCATAGCCCTTATAACCCTCTGAGAGTTTATATACTATTTACTGCTTGTCTCTCCCCATTAGAAAGTAAGCTCATGATGTCAGAGAGTTGCTTTATTCACTGTTGTGCCCTAGTACCAAGAACAATGCTTGACCTCTAGTAGGTGTTCAATAAATATTTGTTGGGTGAATAAATAAATGTATGTATCATAACAAGAACAACAAATTTGGGCAGTTTTCTTACTTTTGATTTGGGCTGTCCTACATTTCACCTTGAGCCTTCTTGTGGTGGGCATGGTTAGTACACACCAACATTCAGTTCTCTCCTCCTGCCTGGGCAATAGAAAACTAGTCATCCCAACAATCTTGCCACTAGGTGTGGCCACGTGCGTGGATGTGGCCAAGGGGCTCTGAGGCGGAGTGACAGCTAGCACTCCTGGGCTGCAGCACGGTGGAGAGGATGTGTTTTCTCCACA